AAAACAACCAAAAAACCAAAACAAACAAACCACTCAAGAAATGGGCACGGGAAATGGGCAAACATTTCACAAAGGAACAAGTCCAAATGGCAAACAAACATATGAAAAAATGTTCCAGCTCCCTAGCAATAAGGGAAATCCAAATTAAAACATCGATGAGGTACCACCTAACACCAGTAAGATTGGCCCACATAAACAAGAACACCAACGACGCTTGCTGGCGAGGATGCGGGGAAAAGGGAACCCTACTCCACTGCTGGTGGAGCTGCAAATTGGTACAGCCTCTATGGAAATCAGTCTGGAGAACACTCAAACAACTCAAAATCTGCATACCATATGACCCAGCAATAGCACTCCTAGGAATATATCCAAAACACCTGTTTTACGACAAACCAACATGCATCCCTATGTTCATTGCAGCACAATCAGTAATTGCAAAAACATGGAAGCAACCGAAATGCCCATCAGCAGAAGATTGGATAAGAAAGCTTTGGTTCATCTACTCCATGGAATACTACTCAGCTATTAAAAAAAACAAAATGCAGTTCTTTGTGGCTAAATGGGCACAACTGGAAACTATAATGCTAAGGGAAATGAGTGAATCCCAAAAGATTAGATACCACATGTTTGCCTTGATTTAACCTGTAATTTTTGTTTGGTTGTTTGTTATTTTTTGAACCTGTCATTGATACTGTCTCAACCCAGATGTTTCGAAGAATGGAACTTGCATTATTTTTAACATATTGTTTACCCATTACTATGTCAATTAATTCCATAATGTTGTATATTGATACTGAGGCCTTGTTGGGGCTTTTAACTGACCGGATCTTTACTCTGTTAGACCTATCTTCAGACCATAGAAGGTCTCCCCAAGAGGCCACTGAACTTATCTGGACAATAAGACGCTGAACTTTATGCTAGGCATGTGTTTGCAAGCAATGAATCTCAACTGAACTTGACCTATGGTTATGCAACAAGGTGGAGGAATCCACCATGGGGGGAGGGGTATGGGAGGGGTGGGGGGAATCCCCAGCGCCTATAAAACTGTACTACATAATACAATGCAAGCAACAATAAAAAAAAAAAAAGAAGTTTATATTCACTCAATCACACCCCTTCTTGGTCCCCCAAGTGAGTGCAGCTCCCTGCCTGTGGCCTGGGAAAGCAGTTGAGGACAGCCCAAAGCCACCGGCTTAGGAGACCTGAAAGAATCTCCTGGCTCCTGGGCTTGGACTGATCATTTCCATTAGTAGTAAAAGAGATTAAACAAACAAAAATAAGGCAGGAGAATCTGGGAGTTTATCAGATGCATACCTGAGCATTTAAAAACCAAACATATCCAAACAGAAGCACTGGGATAGTTAAAAAGAGACTGATTTCCCAAATTAAGCAAACTAAAACCTGGCTTTCCTAAGCGGGGCTGAGAGGACCACAGCAAGGGAGAAATCAAACACGGTTTTGCCTCCAACAGGCACCTGTTACTCTGTGTGTGCTGGAATTCACGCACCATCAACTCACCCGCCTGAGAGTTCTGGTGGTGTCTGTGGTATTTGTACATTTCCCAATCCACGGGCACACCCTGAAGTGGAACACAGAGGGAGAAGGAAAGACAAGCTCAGAGCCTGCAAAGCAGCTGCAGAATTCCTCCAGGGCAGAAGTGTTGCCACTCACAGGCAGGCTGCTCACCTCCCTGAAAAGTGTGTGGGGTGAACCCACGCCCTGCCCTGGGAGGCCTGCAGGTGCCTAGGGCACCCAAGTATCCGGATGCCACCTGGAGTGGAGTCCAGCTCCTGCTGCCCGGCCTCCCTGCATCCTGCACTGGGCTCGGCCACCAGTGGGTGCCCTACCAGGCTGGGGAGTTGCATACCAACTGTGCCCTGGGAGTGAAGGGTTTCCTTCGCTGTGTTTATCTGTGGCTTGGCCGACTGCTCTCTTCCCAGTTTTCCATTTTTCTTTCTCCTTTTTCTCACCCTCCTTCCTTTGCTCCTTTGTCTTGCACTTTTTTTCTGCAACCAAGGATTGTGGCAGTATCCCGAGGGTCTCCATTTCCCCCACTTGGGCTCTGCAGGGATACAAGACCCTAAACCCTGTGTGTTTGTGATTGGGGACCATTGACCAGGGCCAAGCAGATGTGGAGGGGCAAGCCAGGCTACAGGGACAGGCTGACTGGGAGTGTACTTCCTGAGTGCTCCTCAAGCCCACAGGCAGGAAAGCCCACCCTCTTCCTGGCATCTGAAGCACCAATACCATGTTCAGCATAGCCTGTCTTACCTTTCCTTCTGTCCCTGTCAACCTGCAGCTGGGGAAGGCTTCCTGCCTCAGATACCTCCTCTAATGGCTCCCTTGGCCCTTCAGTCTCAACAGGTCTCACAGGGACCACAGCTCAGCAAGCTCGGTGCCCCCACACACAATGCTACCATGGTCACCACCATCAACCCCACCTCATCACATGCTCCCTGTGTGACACACACACACACACGCACACACCCTGCTCGTACAAGTGTGCCGATCTCCCCTTGCTGTCCATCACATACTCACCCCATCCAGCGCATGAACGTGGGTGGATTTCACCTGACTGCCAATCCCATGCCCTTTCCACAAGTCCACACATCACTGAGTCTTACAGGCCAATATGAAGGTGGTTTCAGGGGCCCTCAAGGAAGCAGCAATGAGAGCACTGCTGGAATCCTAGAATGGAGAGGAGTAAATCCTTGCATGGTGCACACACCACTGTCCCCACAATGATTTACAGGTCTCTTTTACTTGCAACACTTTGGGAAGTTATTCAAAGTTACATTCGGGGTGGACTTGGATGGCAGTGTTTGTCACTGGCTCTTAGGAGGAAGGGGGCTAGGTGGAAAGCAGGAAATGCAGAGGCACCTGTGTGCCCTGTGTTTTATTATAAGACACATTGTCCTTTTCATGACAAGCTGCAGACATGGCCAGCTATGAAGGTTTCCTCAACCTAGGGATCTCTGATCACTCAAGCCGTGGAACACAGTGCCCTCTGAGTCAGGTCTGCACTCTTCCTGGAGGAAGAACCTCCAGGGGAGGTGTTAGAGAAATAATCAAGATTCCCCACCCCTCCTCCCAATCCTAAAACATGGCCTCTTTCCACTGGGATTCTCATTAAGACTGAGTCAACTTTGTAGCAGATGGTTTCAGCCCTCCCCGGATTCGATCCAGGCTTCTCTGCCTCCTGCCCCATTATACCCCAGAGGAAATTACCTTTCCCGCCCACTCCTTCCCCCAGGCACCTGTGGCAAAAAAAAAAAAGAAAGAAAAAAAAAGGGAAAATAACACAGGAGGCAGACTGGCCCTGGAGACTTGCACACTTTGAGGGGTCGGGGGTGGGCACATCAAGAACTCTAAGGGGCCCCAGGGGAGTGTAGACACACAGAGAGGACTCCTGCATTTGCATCTGCATTTTCTTGCAAACCAGGGGAGGAGGAAAGTCCTTCCACACATGCAGTACCTGCAGCGGAGGCCTGGAAGTCAGCACATAGGTCCAGGGCTACCGCAAGTGCTGCAGCTGCTCCATTGGCAAGGCGAGAGTACAGCCCGAGCAGCCCTTCAGCGTAAGCCCCAGGGCAGCTAAGTTGGAATCTGCCAAAAGACAGGGAGAGCAAACACATTTTAAATGAACAGAAACATGTGGCTTTCAAGTCTAAATTGCACTTTCCAACCTAAGACACAATTCCAAACAAGCAGGGTTGCCCCTCGCCTAGATCACAGGCGGGAGCTCATCATATTTTGTTGTGGAAATGAAGACAATCAATGAGGAGGGCTTGCTCAGAGTAAGGCTGAGGAAGGGTTGTGGAGGAGGGTAAAAGCAAAGGGGAACCGGTTGATCTCTGCACTGAGCTGAAAGAAAATGAAACCATGAACTTCAAAGCTGGGGTCTAACCCTTCTCAGGTTAATTTCTGCTTCCTACAAAGTTGATCAGGATCCTAAATCATGAGGCCCTCCCCCATGCTGGCCAGGCAGGGTCTGGAGCTCAATGTGGGACAGGAGAAGGATGCTTCCGGTCTCCCAGGTCTATCTGTAACCAATGTTTAGACATTTCCATAACTGGGGGCTCTGCAGGAGATAGAACTGACCCAGCAATTGCAACTACCAGTGTTGTGTGTAGGCTAATATTGATGACAGACTGAGCCAGACTCCAAACTGGCAGGCACACAGGAAGGTCAGGTCTGGGGTCACTTCAGATGAGGTTCCTTTCAGGATCCCCCCAGCTGAACTGCTGGACTCAGAACGCCAATCCTGGGGAGAACTGTAGGTTCTGTAGTCTGCCCATGGAGTACATGTGTCAGAACTGGGCTTCCTCGTGAATAAGATGAAGCAGTGGGTCCCATGCCTAGATTCACTTGGAAGATATGGCACCCACTGGGTTCTGCAGAGGAGATCTAGTGTCATAGCAGAGGAAGGAGAGCAGAACAAATCGATCAACTATTCCAGTTCAGCATTGGCAGCAAATAACTGGGAGAATGGAGACTCTGGGTTGCTCTGTAGGAGCAAATACACCTCCCTAAGCCCCGTTTCCCTGTGGCCCTTCTTCAGACTTGTTTCCTTTTGAACGACTAATAATTTTGAAAAATACCAGTTACCGGATTTCAGACCCACCATTGAACCTGTTATTTCCTTCATAACTACTTCATGTGACTGACTGCACATGCTCATCCTCATTAGTCCCGGTAGACACAGGTGGAGGATGAGATCTGTGTCTTGAAATGTGGAGTGAACCCAGAGTAAATCCCCAATAAGGTGACCATGCCCTGAATCTCTTCCTTTAGGAAATCAAGGCAATATAAGGAAAGGTAATGTCTGAAAAGTGATTTTCTTCCTGGGAGTCCAACCTCAGAGAAGATGAGAATCATAATTAAAATGCTGTTTAGAATTACAGACTTAGGGCCTGGCGGCGTGGCGTACCAGCTAAAGTCCTTGCCTTAAACACGCAGGGATCCCATATGGGCACCGGTTCTAATCCCGGCAGCTCCACTTCCCATCCAGCTCCCTGCTTGTGGCCTGGGAAAGCAGTCGAGGATGGCTCAAGGCCTTGGGTTCCTGCACCTGCCTGGGAGACCTGGAGGAGGTTCCTGGCTCCTGGCTTCGGGTCGGCACAGCACTGGCTGTTGGGCTCACTTTGTGAGTGAATCATCGGACAGGAGATCTTCCTCTCTGTGTCTCCTCCTCTCTGTATGTCTGACTTTGTAATAAAAAATAAATCTTTAAAAAAAAAAAAAAGGGAATTAGAAGCTTTAAAAAAAAAAACTTATTTGAAGGACAGGAGGGAGAGAAATGGGGGCGGGGTTCTTCCATCTGTTGGTGCACTCCCCGAATGGTTGCTACAGCTGGAGCTAGGCCAGGGTGAACCAGGAGCCAGAAACTGCATCTGGGTCGTACACGTCAGTGCCATGGACTCAAGAACGTGAATCACCACCCACTGTTTCAGGGTGCATTAGCAGGGACCTGCATGGGGAAGCCAAATCCCAGTGAGAGAGGAGTTAGAGTGGGTAGTAGGCAGTTAGGGTATTCTGGGTCCCTGAGTAAAAGAGAATTTCCCCACCATGTCTTGAACTCACTCTCCCAGGGACAGGGGTGCTATTAGCATATCAATTCCCCACCAGAAGTATCGGCCATTACCTCCGGCCACTGTGGGAGGGTCTCAGGCCGATCTCTTTATCATTGAAAGGAGAGCAGGAAGAAGTAATACACATCTGCCCAAGGCCTGGAATGTCCTATGTCTAGCACCTCTGTGGCCTTTTGTCCCAAGGCCAGGTACCATGGAAACTAGGAATTTTCTTTGTTCATGGAGAAACATCTTTGAGGGAAACCTTTAAAAGGTGCATTCCCCACCATTCATACGGGTTTTTCTTCTTTGCCTCCCACCACTATGGCAGAGCACTAGGGTTCTTTTTTACTTTTCCTCCTGCCACTATGGCAGGAGGTAAGGGTCCTTTCTATCTCAAAGCCCCCTCCCATCACTAGGACGGGAGTCTTCTCTTCTCAACTTTCCTAATAAATCTTGCGTTAAAACTAAACTGTGTCCGCATGAAAATTCTTCTTTCCTGCGAGACAAGAATTTGAGGTTGCTGCCATACTCGGAGTCAAAATTCCTGCAACACCAGGGCTGAAATCAGTCAGATCCAAATCAGTGCCGCTATGGTGTCCTGACCTAGGCAGCAGTTCAACTCCTGCACCAATCTGTCCATCACAGTGCTTTTAATTTATTTTTAAAGATGTATTTATTTTTATCGGAAAGACAGGCATATACAGAGAAGGAGATTCAGAGTGAAAGATCTTCTGTCCACTCATTTGCTTCCCAAGTGGCCGCAATGGGCAGAGCTGAGCCGACCTAAAGCCAGGAGCCAGGAGCTTCTTCTGGGCCTCCCATATGAGTGCAGGGTCCCAAAGGCTTTGGGCCATCTTCGACTGCTTTCCCAGGCTACAAGCAGGGAGCTGGATGGGATACAGGGCCACCGGGATTAGGACCAGCATCTATATGGGATCCTGGCACATGTAAAATGAGGACTTCAGTCACTAGGCTACTGCTCTAGGCCCTTATTCATATTTTTATAATTAAAATGTAGTTTTTATACCATATAAATATTTATACACTATTCTGTAGTGTACAAAATACCCAGGACCCCATTTAAAATTTTTTTAACCTTTTGTTTTTGATGATGCTTGCATAGTTGACTAGGGTGGGAAGGGTTGAGGACTAGGAGAAAGCGGTTGAGGACTAGGGTGAGACAAAATTGGCCCTTTCTTCCTCCTGTATCCAGGGCAAGAGGGGAAATTAGGGGAGTAGCCGCACACAGCCCCCCAGCTGCCTCAGTACCTGGGAGCAGGGAGCTGGGATCCAATGTCATCCCACGTTTCCTAATGTGGATTACACTTTGAAGGTTCTGCTCAAGTGGTCTCAATAGTTCTGAGAAACCAAAGCCAAGAATAAGAGGAATGGGGTTTGAGGGATGTGGGAACTCTGACTCCATAAACTTTCTAAAATATTCTAAGCTAAAAGTTTTATTTTTAAAAAATCCAGGCTGGGATTGTCATTGAGGCACAGCAAGCAAAGCCTCTGCTTGTGCTGCTGGCAACTAATAGGGCTGCCAGTGTGTGTCCTTGCATCCTCTGTTGCCCAGATCATAGGATAAATTAGCCTAAGCTGAGCCCTAACCACCCTTCCCTGGAGCGACCCCCTGCCTTCACCCTGTGATTGCTAGACAGATTTGAACCTGGTCTCTTTTCTCTTGTTTCCTTGCCAGCTCAATTCCCAATGAAGCTGGTGCCACGGCCAGTTTCCACTGAGCAACGGGGAGTGAACCCTTGCTCGGCAATCTAAATTCACTTAAAATTTCAGGAAGTGATAAAATATAGTTAGGTGGAAGGCTTGAAGAATGACTACATGATGCTTTTTAATCTTTCTTTCCATCTTACGTATCACCAATCTATGTGCAAAGAACATGCACCTTGGGGGGAAAAAAGGTTTTAAAAAAATCCTCATATCACTAAAAGACTAGGGGGAGAAAAAGTTGAACAAAGAACCAGTGGGCAGCTCCAAGCATTGCACCACAACTAGAGCCACCTGCAGGCAGCCCCATTCTCCAACAGACACCCTGGGCTATCGCTATGTCCGTGACACTTACGGGGAACCAGCAGGAAAGTCATAGGACTTTCCATATCCTAATCTATAATGAGGCTGTTGGTGGGCTTTCCCATTAACTTGCAAAAGGAGAAACGGGAATGTCCAGAGATGCCCTAGACTCCACTCTACACCCACATACTGAAGCAGCATCAACCAAGCACACGTCTCCACAATTTCCCACTGAGACGATAACCAGGCCTGGAGATCCAGAAAGTCACCCAGGGACAGCAGGCAAGTCAAGTAAGTGGATTCTGCTCCCAGAAGACTTTACCAGCATGAGAAAAACAAAACAGAGTAGAATAACAGTAAAGGTTAAACACCATCAAAGTAGAATAGAACCTGTAGAACCTGTACGTTAAACTAGACAAGATGGTAGCTACAATGGAAGTCTCAGGAAGAGTCAAGGGCCCAGCGCGATGGCGCAGCAGTTAAGGTCCTCACCTTGCACGCCCGGGATCCCATATGGGCACCGGTTCTAATCCCAGCAGCCCCACTTCCCATCCAGCTCCCTGCCTGTGGCCCGGGAAAGCAGTCAAGGATGGCCCAAAACTTTGGGACCCTGCACCCGCATGGAAGACCCGGAGGAGGCTCCTGGCTTCGGATCGGCATAGTATCGGCCTGTTGGGCTCACTTGGGGAGTGAATCATCAGATGGAAGATCTTCCTCTCTGTCTCTCCTCTCTATATATCCGCCTTTCCAACAAAAATAAAATAAATCTTAAAAAAAAAAAAAACATGAATCTCCTGATATGGTAATGAAATAAAAATCATCCATCATATGGACACCGGTTCTAATCTCGGCACCCCTGCTTCCCATCCAGCTCTCCATCTCTCCCTCTAACACTTTCAAATAACTTAATGAAACTTTTCTCAAAAAAGTGCTTTTAATACCATAAATTTCTGAAATATTTTGACAACTCATACTTTCTAGAACAGCAAAATGTCTGATGACCATGAAGACTTCGAAGCATCAACATCAAGGAGCACATGAAAGCACAGATCCCCTCAGTGTCAGAGCTCTGACTGCGAGCTGGAGCTACGGCGTATCCGCATACGGCACGGCCTTTGGAAATGTCTAAGCCTGGGTCCCGTTAGCTGTAAGACCAGCATCAGGGCCTGGTGCGGTAGCATAGTGGTTAAGATCCTCGCCTTACACGTGCCGGGATCCCTATGGTTGCCAGTTCTAATCCGGCAGCCCTGCTTCCCATCAGCTCCCTGCTTGTGGCCTGGAAAGGCAGTCAAAGATGGCCCAAACCTTGGGACCCTGCACCCAAGTGGGAAACCCAGAAGGGCTCCTGGCTCCTGGCTTCGGACTGGTGCAGCACTGGCTGTTGTGACCCCTTGAGGAGTGAACCATTGGAAGGAAGATCTTCCTCTCTGTCTCTCCTCCTGTCTGTATATCCGCCTTGCCAATAAAAAAAAATAATAATAAATCTTAAAAAAAAAAGACAAGCATCAAAACAGTGCATAATTCTTGTGTAAGAGAGATGCTGCGTTAGCGATTAGAGCAAGTAGTTTTAGCCCATCAACACTTAGTCATCCAGAAAGAATGAACAACATGACTGCTGCACACATTCTTGCCTTCCCCGTTCTTTCCCCTTACTTCTCATCTTTCCATCCCAGTGCTGTGCTGTGCCTACAGCTCATCTCCACCATGCGCTCTGCTGATTTTGCCGGCAAGCTTTTCCACTGTAAAGCAATCTGTCCATCATTTCATCTGCTCCCCATCCCCCTTCCTCAGTTGAAACCCAAGCCTCTTGCAGCAAGAGCGCATCTTTCCCTGTGGCATTCTCAGGAAAAAGAGGTTCTCTTCCACCTCCTCTCTCAGCATGGAGCCACATCGAGTACAGAAACAAATATACTTGTGCTTTGCTTCTGTGATGACGTTTCTCCGTTCCTACACACCTTCCCCGTGCGGATGCGCAGTGACCATGACCTCCCCTCTCCCTCCCCCTGGCCTGGACTATTCTTCTCATGGTTAGAGGATCTGGGCACAGACTTACAGCCTCAACTTTCACAGTTATTGCTGATGTAAGCTGGAAAAGAACGTAACATCTACGGTCTACAACTCCACTTGACGTTCCTGCTACCCACTCTCAGTCAAGATGGAAGTTGACACAGCCTGGAGTCCTAGGTAATGGTTGGTGTATCTGCTAAATGACACCGCAGGAATTCAATCAGCAAAACACAGAGTGGGGAACTGCAGAGCAAATCGCCAGTTGTTGTTGTTGCGAAATATCAGTTTCAAGGACAGGGCTGTTCCTTTATGGTTTAGACTCAAGTAGACATTAAAAATATTAAGTAGATATCAAGAAACTAAAGTGCTTGCTAATGGTTGATGACTGATGGCTTAGGGATGGGGTCTTAGCCTAATGGTAGCATCTGTGATACAGGTCTAGTGGCAGCTTGCAGGTCACGGGAGCACGCGTTCAGGAGCACTTCGCCACAGCAGGGCTTGTTATGTATCCCAGATGGGCATCCTGCGTCACTGCGCTCTGTGGCTTGCTAACGATGATTCATCCACATGCATTTCACCATTATCACCCTCATGCCACACTGTTAGGCCCCTCCAGATGACAGGCAAATGGGTTACCCAATCTTAGACAACCTTCCTTCTTAGTTATTTCAGATAATGTAGTAAAAAAATTAATGTATGGATGTTAGTGGAAAGGAACCTACAGATTAGAAACAAACAAAAACCCAAACAAATACAGTAAGTGGGTCTCACTTGACTCTTCCTTCAAATAATTTTTTTTTAAAAAGAAACAACTTGATAAAAATGGACAAGTAAACTTGAATGCTAATTAAGCATTCAGTGATATTGGAGAAATAATGAGGACTTTTTCAATCTATGATAATGAAATTGTGTGTTGAAATTCAGAAGATCTTCCTCCCTGGCTCTTTCCCTCTCCGCATACCTGACTTTCCAATAAAAATAAATCCTTGCAAACATTCCTTGTATTGTATTTATATTAAAATGTTTACAATTCAATAGATGGGGGTTGTTTCAAGCCCACCCGGGCCAACAGGCTGGGAGAAGTGAATTGAAAGGAAATGGGGTGTAGCTGAAACAAAGCTGGCATTAGCTGCTTAATGTTGGTCATGGGTACTTAGGGGACACTCATGGAGTCTATTTGCTTCTGTATTTCCCCCTAACCAAATGCAGAGGAAAAAGCCATTAGGAATGACTCACCTAGTCTGATGGCCCTCCAAGTGACTCCATCACCAAAGTCAGGGGGATTTTAAGCTCTCATTGACACTGCAGGCATGTATTTTCAAGCAATTCAGGTGGTGTGCACTACAAATTAATCAACTGAAATGACTTATAATTCAACCAACTTACACTTTAGACCAATCAGATACAGAAGCAGATACCTTTGCTTAGCCATGCTCAAAACCCAGTACTATGTCAGGGAACTGGCAATCTCCTGTCCTCTTTTCACACCTGCTAACTGCCCCCTTTGCCATTAGCCAGATGCACCCCATCACACAAAATAGCTTTGCCTGAGTCCCACTGGACTTCCAATGTATTTTGCTCACCTAAATTGCTCATGTTTTTTTTTTCCCACAGACACTTGATATGCATACTTCCAAGTTGATCATACATCATGACAGACATTCCTAAGCAGCTAGTCCCACTGCTGTCCTTCCCCTTCAACCCTGGCCCCTTAGGTAACATTGTTAGGGCTCCAGATTAGAGAGAAAGCAGATAAACTCCTCAAGGCAGACTGAGAAAACTTCTTCACTTGTCTGAGCTGAACTTTCTGTCATTCCTTGGCTGGGGCAGCTTTGGCATGGTGATACTGTCCCACCAGAGGATAACCAGGAGGCACACACCTTTGAAGGTGGTCCTAGACGAGCAATACACGATGGTGCTAGGAGGGGCTTCTTAGAGCAGAACTGTTAGCAGATGAGTATGCTCAGGTATGTGAGCCAGGCACTACACTGTGAATAGGTCCACACGCATTACAATGGATCTGAGCAAACAACATGGACATGACAATACATCATCGGCTCAGTATAGTGTCGAGACACACGCAATGATTGTAGTGGCTCTTAGCAAGAATATGCAAGAGCACTGGGACTGAGCTAGTGGCCATAAGAACTAAGTGCTGGGACGTGATTTGGCAAACATGGCGAACGACTATGTGAGCCATGTGATGGCTGTGAGGGACAGGGGAGGCTGAGGATGAGACCCAGGACATGTTGTGTCAGCAGCTGGAGAAAACAGAGACAATGTGTGGCACAGAGCAGCAGCAAATTGGGGAATATCCTGCTGTACTCCAGCCTATCTTGTCAAGATACTAGGCTTCGGGTTGAGTTGCTAGGTACCTGAGGGTGAGATGCAGATCCTTGAAGTTCCCAAAGTTTTGTTAGTTGCTCCAAGAACTTCAGTCACACGCTAGTCATTACCTAGATCATTAAAAACAGAAATCAGAAGAACTGAGTGATGGGTGAAAATAAATAAATCTTACAGAATAAAAGCACTTTTCTCTCTCTGAAAGCATGCAGACTTCTCATTTTTTAGCTTAACTCATAAAACAAGCAAATAATTAAACAGAAAAAATACTTCTAACAAGCATTTTTTAGTAAGGCAAATATGTTTCTCTACTGTGTAAAAAGGGTTCCTATTAGTAACCAAAAATTTCAAATTGGTTTAATTTTATGATTCAAACGGAAATTAAGAACATCAGATTATTCTCACTTACCATGCAATTCAGCATTTCATCAACAGAAGAAAATATTTTTTAGGTACATCGACCCTCTACCTCACCAATATTAAGACATTTTTCATCAGTTATCTTATTACAAGAGACTAAGGAATGGCTCAGCATTACGACTCAGTGGCTAAATGCTCACCTTGCACGTGCAGGATCCCATATGGGATTCGAGGCCTGACTGCCCCATTTCCCATCCCTCTCCCTGCTTGCAGCCTGAGAAATCAATAGAGGACAGGCCAACACCTTGGGACCGTGCACCAACATGGGAGATGCTGAAGAAGCTCCAGGCTCCTGACTTCAGATTGGCTCAGCTCCAGCTGGTATGACCATTTAGGGAGTGAACCGGGATATTGAAGATCTTTCTCTCCATCTCTGTGTAAATCTGCCTTTTCAATAAAATAAGTAAATCTTTTTTAGATGCATTTTTAAAAATTTCTATTGGAAAGGCAGATATACAGAGGGGGAGAGAGAAAGAGAGGAAGATCTTCCATCCAACGAGTCACTCCCCAATCGGACGCAATGGCTGGAGCGAAGCTGATCCGAAGCCAGGAGACAGGAGCTCCTCTGGTTCTCCCATGCGGGTGCAGGGTCCCAAGTCTCTGAACCGTCCTCGACTGCTTCCCCAGGCCACAAGAAGGGAGAGCTGGATGGGAAGCAGGGCCTCCTGGATTAGAACCAGCGCCCAAATGGGATCTCAGCTCGTGCAAAGCCAGGACTTTAATAGGCTATCGAACCAGGCCCAAAACAAATAAATCTTAAAGAGGGAGAGAGAGACTAAAGAAAAAAAAATAACCATTAAATTCTTAGAAAATATTTTAGAAAGATATGGAAGTCAAAATCCCCTCGTCAAACAATACATCTCAAAATTTTCCCTTTTGGAGCAACAATGATGGTATAACAAGCTCTTCTTCAGCCCTGTGGTGGCAATGCCAGGTGCTCCCCTTCTGATTCTGCTCTCTACTTATGGCCGGAGAGAGCAACTGAAGATGCCTTGGGCCCTGGACCCATACAGGAGCTTCCACAGAAGCAGCCTGTGGGTCCCACCTTCGGACCACCTAAGCCCCTCCTTCCCTAACTCTCCTTGGTGCCCTGTAAAGTCTGCCTCTCATATGAAGACAAAAAAATTTTTGGGGGGGCCCGGCACGATGGTGCAGTGGTTAAGGTCGGTCCTCACCTTGCACACCTAGCATCCCATATTGGCGCTGGTTCTAATCCCGGCAGCCCTGCTTCCCTTCCAGCTCCCTGCCTGTGGCCCGGGAGAGCAGTCGAGGATGGCCCAAAGCTTTGGGACCCCGCACCCGTATGGGAGACCCGGAAGAGGCTCCTGGCTGCAGGTTGGCATAGCATCGACTATTGTGCTCATTTGGGGAGTAAATCGTCGGATGGAAGATCTTCCTCTCTGTCTCTCCTCTCTGTATATCTGCCTTTCCAATAAAAATAAAATAAATTTTTTAAAAAAATTAAAATGCATTTTGTATTATTCAGCACTTATTTTTAAGACTGATTTTGTTATTGGAAAGTCAGACGTGCACAGAGGAGGACACATCGAGAGGAAAATCATTCACCCGATGATTCACTCCACAAGTGGCCACAATGGACAGCGCTGAGCCAATCCGAAGCCAGGAGACAGGAGCCTCTTCCTGGTCTCCCACACAGGCACAGAATCCCAAGGCTTTGGACTGTCCTCTACTGCTTTCCCAGGCCACAATCAGGAAGCTGGATGCGAAGAGGGTCCGCCAGGATTGGAATTGGTTCCAAAATGGGATCTCGGCACATTCAAGGCAAGGATTTCAGCCGCTCAGGGAGCACTGGGCCCTGTCCCGTAGTTTTTATACCACACTGAAAAACCATCTACAAAATGTGGCAGATGAGGGGGGCAACAAAAATGCTTAAATAAATTTCAGTTGGGCCTAGCAGGATGACTCAATGGCTAAATCCTTGCCTCACAAGCACAGGAAACCAATTTGGGCATCAGTTTATAACCTGTCTGCTCCACTTCCCAGACAACTCCCTGCTTGTGGCCTGGGAAAGCAACCCTGGGACCCTGCATCTGCACGGGACCCTGGAAGAAGCTCCTGGTTCCTGACTTAGGTTTGGCTCAGCTCCCAGCAGCTGTAGCCATTTGGAGAGTGAGCCAGCAGATGGAAGATCTTTCTCTCTCTGTGAATCTGCCTTTCAAGTACAAATAAACAAATCTTTTGAAAAAATAAATACTGACAAGTTGGAACTTAAGAATTCTCTTCATGGGCCCAGCACAGTGGCCTAGTGGCTAAAGTCCTCGCCTTGAACACGCCAGGATCGCATACAGGCACTGGTTCTAATCCCAGCAGCTCCACTTCCCATCCAGCTCCCTGCTTGTGGCCTGGGAAAACAGTCAAGGATGGCCCAAGGCCTTGGCATCCTGCACCCACACCAGGTACCTCGAAGAATTTCCTGGCTCCTGGCTTTGGATCGGCTCAGCTCCACCCTTTGTGATCACTTGGGGAGTGAGTCAGTGGACAGAAGATCTCTCTATCTCTCCTCCTCTGCATATGTGACTTGGCAGTAAAAATAAATACAACTTTAAAAAATGTAGTGTTACAGGCTAGCACCCTGATTATGCTCCAGGGAAAACCGTGGAGGATGCCCTCTGGCATGGGAAACCCCAATGAAGCTCCTGGCTCCTTGCTTTGGCCTGGCCCACTCTAGCCCCTGCAACCATTTGGACAGTGAACCAGCAGAAGCAATATCTGTCTTTCCCTCAATCTTTGAAAACACTGCCTTTCAAATAAACAAATAAATGAACAAATATTTACAAAAACTCACACATCTTTTAAAAGTATAATTTTAAATGATTTCCCGTCCAAGAGCGCTAGCCTAGAGGCTAAAATCCTCACACTGCATGTGCCAGAATCCCATACAGAAACTAGTTCTACTCCTGGCCACCCCACATCTATTCAGCTCCCTCCTTCTGGGCTGGGAAAGCAGTCAAGGACAGTGCAAAGTCGTGGCACTCTGTACCTGCGTGGGAGACCTAGACGAATCTTCAGGCTTCTGGCGTTGGATCAGAGAAGCTCTGAACACTGCAGGTGCTTGGGGAGTGAACCAGTGGATGGAAGAGCTTCCTCTCTGTCACTTCTCCTGCTGTATATCTGACTTTCAACAAAAAAAAATAAAATAAATATTAAAAAATTATCACTCTAAGGTTGACACAAATTTTGGCAAGCGCTAGTCTAAATTCTTCCCACTTACTTACTGAGCTATTACCCTATGAGATAACGCTTGTCACAACCACTAACCTGACTTACAAGCACAAGTAAAACTCATATATCCACATAAGACTGCAGAGTAACAGCAATCCTCAAATACATTCCACCTTATGAAACAGAGAAAAAAAATGACAAGCTCAACACAGAACACTACTCAACTGTACATCAGTAGATTCATGGAAATTGGAATCAGAAATTTTTTTTTAATTTATACACTCCTTAAGACTCACTTATTTTTGATGCAAAGACAGATCTACAGAGGAGAGACAGAAAATATTCCAGAGTAGCTCACTGCTCAAATGCCCACAACAACTGGAGCCGACAATCTGAAGCCAGGATCCAGGAGCTTCTTGCAGGTCTCCAAGGTAGGTGCAGAGTGCCAAGGTTTGGGCCGTCCTCCACTGCTTTCCCAGGCCACTAGCAGGGAGCTGGACTGGAAGTGGAGCAGCCAGAAAATGAACCAGTGCCTAAATGGGAGGATTACCCTGTTGAGCCATTGCACCAGGCCCTGAAGTTATTGTTGGGAGACAGACACGGAGGCAGAGCAGGCCAAGCAAACTGGCATCCACGGGGTACTGCCATGGCTGCTCTATTTCCAATCCAGCTCAGTGCTAATATCCCTCGGAAGGCAACAGATAATAGCCCAATGTCTTGGGCCCTCTACTACCCATGTGGGAGACTGAACCTAGGGTTTCATCCCCCTGGCTTGAGGATCGCCTTGCCCTAGTGTTTTGTAGACATTTAGGAAGTGACTCAGCAGAGAGATCTCTCCACCTCTCTGACTTTCATATAAATAAGTCACTCACATAGATTTTTATTTTGATAAGAAAAGATGGGAAAGTCCATGCAGGTTTTACCATTTGCATTCTTGTCAACTTTACAGAAACCTAATGCATAAATTCAAGATTGTCTGTACCAAAATAAATCTATCTTTTAATTCAATTTTCCACAAACTTGTTCAGGTATCCGCACACTCATCAAAATATGGCATTTGCAGGTTGCTGTTTCTTTTGCACATTGTCTATCACATGATCTAAGGAGCATGCATCACATTAATCTCACAGCATTGTATAAGATAACCTCTAACGAAAACTGAACTCCATCCATTCTGTCTCTTCATGCATGCATCTCACTGTCAGACCCTCCTTCACAAGCAATGCTGCCCACCAACTTACTGAAGTGCCTGCTCTCATAAATGCACTGGGCTCTGATCCAATCTATAAACCAAGTACAAGCCTCACCTTGCTCACAGCACATGGAGCCAGAATATTTCTCTCTACCACAGCGATTTTCAAAGTAGATCCTTGAAGTTCCCAAAGTTTTGCTAGTTGGCCCAAGAACTTCAGTCACACACTAGTCATTACCTAGATCATTAAAACAGAAATCAGAAGAACTGAGTGATGGGTGAAAATAAATTAATCTTACAGAATAAAAGCACTTTTCTCTCTCTGAAAGCATGCAGACTTCTCATTTTTTAGCTTACCTCATACAACAAGCAAGTAACTAAACAGAAAAAATACTTCTAACAAGCATTTTTTAGTAAGGCAAATATGTTTCTCTACTGTGTAAAAAGGGTTCCTATTAGTAACCAAAACGTTCCAAATTGGTTTCACTTTATGATTCAGACGGAAATTAAGTACATCAGATTATTCTCAGTTACCATTCAATTCAGCATTTCATCAACAGAAGAAAATATTTTTTAGGTACATCGACCCTCTACCTCACCAATATTAAGACATTTTTCATCAGTTATCTTATTACAAGAGACTAAGGAATGGCTCAGCATTACGACTCAGTGGCTAAATGCTCACCTTGCACGTGCAGGATCCCATATGGGATTCGAGCCCTGACTGCCCCATTTCCCATCCCTCTCCCTGCTTCCAGCCTGAGAAATCAATAGAGGATGGGCCAACACCTTGGGACCGTGCACCAACATGGGAGATGCTGAAGAGGCTCCAGGCTCCTGACTTCAGATTGGCTCAGCTCCAGATGGTATGACCATTTAGGGAGTGAACCGGGAGATTGAAGATCTTTCTCTCCATCTCTGTGTAAATCTGCCTTTTCAATAAAATAAGTAAATCTTTTTTAGATGCATTTTTAAAAATTTGTATTGGAAAGGCAGATATACAGAGGGGGAGAGAGACAGAGAGGAAGATCTTCCATCCAATGATTCACTCCCCAATCAGACGCAATTGCTGGAGCTAAGCTGATCCGAAGCCAGGAGACAGGAGCTCTTCTGGTTATCCCATGCGGGTGCAGGGTCCCAAGGCTCTGAACCGTCCTCGACTGCTTCCCCAGGCCACAAGAAGGGAGAGCTGGATGGGAAGCAGGGCCTCCTGGATTAGAACCAGCGCCCAAATGGGATACCAGCTCCTAAGTCAGGACTTTAATACGCTATCGCACCAGGCCCAAAACAAATAAATCTTAAAGAGGGAGAGAGAGACTAAAGAAAAAAATAACCATTAAATTCTTAGAAAATATTTTAGAAAGATATGGAAGTCAAAATCCCCCCATCAAACAATACATCTTCTCAAAATTTTCCCTTTTGGAGCAACAATGATGGTATAACAAGCTCATCTTCAGCCCTGTGGTGGCAATGCCAGGTGCTCCCCTTCTGATTCTGCTCTCTACTTATGGCCGGAGAGAGCAACTGAAGATGCCTTGGGCCCTGGACCCATACAGGAGCTTCCACAGAAGCAGCCTGTGGGTCCCACCTTCAGACCACCTAAGCCCCTTCTTCCCTAACTCTCCTTGGCGCCCTGTAAAGTCTGCCTCTCCTATGAAGCCAAAATTTTTAAAAATGCATTTTGTATTATTCAGCAGTTATTTTTAAGACTGATTTTGTTACTGGAAATTCAGATAGGCACAGAGGAGGACACATCGAGAGGAAAATCATTCACCCGATGATTCACTCCCCAAGTGGCCACAATGGGCAGACAGCGCTGAGCCAATCCGAAGCCAGGAGACAGGAGCCTCTTCCTGGTCTCCCACACAGGCACAGAATCCCAAGGCTTTGGGCTGTCCTCTACTGCTTTCCCAGGCCACAATCTGGAAGCTGGATGCGAACAGGGTCCGCCAGGATTGGAATCGGTTCCAAAATGGGATCTCAGCACATTCAAGGCAAGGATTTCAGCCGCTCAGGGAGCACTGGGCCCTGTCCCGTAGTTTTTATACCACACTGAAAAACCATCTACAAAATGTGGCAGATGAGGGGGACAACAAAAATACTTAAATAAATTTCAGTTGGGCCTAGCAGGATGACTCAATGGCTAAATCCTTGCCTCACAAGCACAGGAAACCAATTTGGGCATCAGTTTATAACCTGTCTGCTCCACTTCCCAGACAACTCCCTGCTTGTGGCCTGGGAAAGCAACCCTGGGACCCTGCATCTGCATGGGACCCTGGAAGAAGCTCCTGGTTCCTGACTTAGGTTTGGCTCAGCTCCCAGCAGCTGCAGCCATTTGGAGAGTGAACCAGCAGATGGAAGATCTCTCTTTCTCTCTGTGAATCTGCCTTTCAAGTACAAATAAACAAATCTTTTGAAAAAATAAATACTGACAAGTTGGAACTTAAGAATTCTCTTCATGGGCCCAGCACAGTGGCCTAGTGGCTAAAGTCCGCCTTGAACACACCAGGATCGCATACAGGCACTGGTTCTAATCCCGGCAGCTCCACTTCCCATCCAGCTCCCTGCTTGTGGCCTGGGAAAGTAGTCAAGGATGGCCCAAGGCCTTGGCATCCTGCACCCACACCCGGTACCTGCAAGAATTTCCTGGCTCCTTGCTCCACCCTTTGTGATCACTTGGGGAGTGAGTCAGTGGACAGAAGATCTCTCTATCTCTCCTCCTCTGCATATGTGACTTGGCAGTAAAAATAAATACAACTTTAAAAAATGTATTGTTACAGGCTAGCACCCTGATTATGCTCCAGGGAAAACCGTGGAGGATGCCCTCTGGCATGGGAAACCCCAATGAAGAAGAAGCTCCTGGCTCCTTGCTTTGGCCTGGCCCACTCTAGCCCCTGCAACCATTCACTGGACAGTGAACCAGCAGAAGCAATATCTATCTTTCCCTCAATCTTTGAAAACACTGCCTTTCAAATAAACAAATAAATATTTACAAAAACTCACACATCTTTTAAAAGTATAATTTTAAATGATTTCCCGTCCAAGAGCGCTAGCCTAGAGGCTAAAATCCTCACACTGCATGTGCCAGAATCCCATACAGTAACTTGTTCTATTCCTGGCCACCCCACATCTATTCAGCTCCCTCCTTCTGGGCTGGGAAAGCAGTCAAGGACAGTGCAAAGTCGTGGCACTCTGTACCTGCATGGGAGACCTAGACGAATCTTCAGGCTTCTGGCGTTGGATCAGAGAAGCTCTGACCACTGCAGGTGCTTGGGGAGTGAACCAGTGGATGGAAGATCCTCCTCTCTGTCACTTCTCCTGCTGTATATCTGACTTTCAACAAAAAATAAATAAAATAAATATTAAAAAATTATCACTCTAAGGTTGACACAAATTTTGGCAAGCGCTAGTCTAAATTCTTCCCACTTACTTACTGAGCTATTGCTCACCCTATGAGATAACGCTTGCCACAACCACTAACCTGACTTATAAGCACAAGTAAAACTCATATATCCACATAAGACTGCAGAGTAACAGCGATCCTCAAATACATTCCACCTTATGAAACAGAGAAAAAAAAAAATGACAAGCTCAACACAGAACACTACTCAACTGTACATCAGTAGATTCATGGAAAATGGAATCAAAAATTAATTTTTTTTAATTTATACACTCCTTAAGACTCACTTATTTTTGATGCAAAGACAGATCTACAGAGGAGAGACAGAAAATATTCCAGAGTAGCT